CTTCCTTCATACTTCACCTTTTTTTCCATCTCCCCAGAAAATTAAAATCCCTTTCCAAAAATTAGAGTCTTTCAAAACCCTCTTTTCTCCTCTCTCAAAAACACTTTAAATGTTCAAACCCTTTATTCCTACTAAAGAATTTCTGGATGGAGAAATTTTTGAGTGTGATGAGGGATCAGGTCCGACAAAAAAAAGGAGGGTGATATTCTGAGAGCTCAAAGTATTCTGAATATGAGGGTGTCTGAACAAAAAAAAATGAAATGAAGAATTGAAATGGTTCCTCAATTATTGATCTATTCATCTCGTAGGCCTTGAGTAAGTTTAATCTTACTAATATTCTGTCATGAGAAACTTAGGCTTGATATGGAAGCTATGACCGTTGCTCCTGCTAGCAGGGACACTAAAATAGTTTGTTTGAAGGCTCAGCTTCTTATGGAACAGTTAGAAGGACCAGGTTGAAAAAATTTTTGGCAGCCAAGCATGCTGAACTTTAAGAGAAGCTTCTAAAAAATTATGCTAAGGAATATGTTCTACTAATTCTATTCTTTCCATCCCTTGCTCCTAAGTCATCCCCTCTCTCCCTAAATCCCCATGTCAGTCCTCATTCCTCTTTTCTATCGAAACTCAGTAGGTATTCCCATAATGATGTCTGCAATTCTTTGATGGCTGATCTTTTATTTGTGAATGAAAAATGTCTTATTTCTACTGACTTGTCTCATCTTTATGCATTTTTACTCATGCTCGTTGTTGCCCAAGTGGCCATGAATTTGCTTGAACTACATTTCTGGCAACTTGGTTTACTGCTTTAACTCTTTTTTATGATGTCAAAAAGGGGAAGATTGTTATGGTATGAGATCAATGATGGTGATTAACGATGTTATGAGATCTATGATGACATGGTCATGCCAATAGGGGGAAGAAGTGCTACTTGAAGATGATATGATCATGCCGATAGGGAGAAGAAGTTGAAAATGTTTGTCATCATCAAAAAGGAGGAAAATGCTATTTTGTTGTTGATATGAAGTTTTGATGATTAAATTTGACAAACTTTGGGAATGATGCAAAAAGGGGACTAATCCAATTATCTGAAGAGGCTTGCTAATAAGGGGAACTGGTGAAAGGGGGAAGAAGGTGAATGAAGTCTGTTATCATTAAAAAGGGGGAAAATGTTACTTTGGAGCTAATGTTAAGTTTTGATGATTTAACAAACTTAGGGATCTAACAAGGGACCAGATCCATGAAAGGGTATTCTGGTATTGGGACTGATGAAAGGGAAATGAATGGATAGACTCAGCATGAGAAATATTTGTGTGTCTTCATCAAAAAGGGGTAAAATGTTATATTCTAGTGTTTTGATGATCCTCACAAATATAGGGACCTGGTCCTTGGCAGAGTACTTTCGTCCAGATTCAAAGTGGTGCAAAGCTATAAAGTTAGTTTTACAGTTGTCTTGTCAGGTTGGTTGGTGAGATGTGCAACGTACTTCACCAATTGGAAGGGCGGACGAAGTTGTTTGTTTAAGTGGTCAAAACCCTTGTTGGTAACTGATATATATACACAACGATAAATAAACAACATTATTCATTCAAGAAGAGAGAAAGCTAGAAAGTCTTTTTCATGAACTCAAGCATCAAAGAACACAATAAGGGACCTGGTCCCGAAATATCTACAAACGAAAAAAGGACGAAAATACAGTTGTCAAAAGGTTGCCAACTCTGATGTGGTTGGTGCACAACCTTTCATGACATCAAACTTTCAGCTAATGACCTTGTCCCAAGGGTTTGTGTCCACTTTGATAATAGTCTCTTCTCCAAACACAAACCTAAGTTTTGGCAAACAAAGTTGTGAATTTCTGAAAATTCATAAGCTAAAAAAAAAAAGTCATCTTCAAGGAAGAACATTGCTCATGCTCAACAAAAGGACCTGATGAAGTGCTGAAACGTCTTTGTTCTTATGTGCTTAAATTGTAAATCTATTCCTAAGCTATAAAGGAATTAGATCTTTGTTCAGTTCATACAAAAGTCTAAATCAGCCAGGTTGAGTAGTTTAGTGGGCAACATTGTTGTTGCTTAGTTGAATTCTAAATCATCTAAGAGTTAGGTGGTTTAGTGGGCAACATTGTTGTTGCTTAGTCAAAGTCTAAATCGTCCAGAGGGTGGTGGTTTAGTGGGCAACCTGTGTGTTGCTTAGTTGAAGTCTAAGTTATCTAAGAGGTAGGTAGCTTAGTGGGCAATAATGTTATTGCTTAGTTGCTTTCTTTGTAGTAGATGTGCTACATTTAGGGGGAAGGGATTTAGTGTTAAATTCCTAGGTTGCAAGAGTTTGTAATTTGAATTGTTGAAATGGAGTTTGGGTTGAAATCCTGTGAGGACAGGTCGTGGTTTTCACCGCCTTTGAGCAAGGGGGTTTCCACGTAAAATCCTTGTGCAAATTTTACTTTCAGCCATTTACTTTCTGCATTTATTTCAGTTACTGTTCTTGCTGAGTCAAGGGACCTGGTCCGTTGACGTATAGTGGACGCGTACTACTGCTTGTGCTTACATTACTGTTCTTACTGTGTCAAGGAACCTGGTCCATTGACTCGTAGTAGACGCATATATCTTAACATGAACCCAACAAATAATCTAGTAAAAATTAACTTGAAAATACAAAACCTAATAATTGGAAGTTCACAAACGTAGAAATAGAAAAGAAGAAAGAAGTAATACCTATTATACTAAACTTGATTTTTTTTCCAACTACTCCCTAAACTATCAATCGTCTTAGTTACCTCTCTGAATTTACCTATTTGATAGTCTTTAGCATGCATTTGAATATGCAATTTCATCATAAATTTGAAGTTATTATTTTAAATTAACGTTTAGATTATATACAATTTGAAATCATGATTTCAAATTATTTTAAACATAAAACTTGATTCATAAGTTTATGTTTTGTAAAAAAAGAAAAAGGATTTACCATTTTAAATTTTACAAAAAAAGGCTCATACTCGGTGTGTAAAGATTGTTTGTACCGTGTGAAAGTGATTATATCAAAGAATAATTAGTTACTACTATTTAGTAATCACAAACATTTATTTATATAAAAATATGGATATATGTGATTTATCAATACGATACCTAAGGATATTCTGATATCTTTTTTTATGAACTATGGTTTGCTCATTTGGTAAGATTGTATAAGAATTGGAGAAATTTTGTAATTTTCAACTAAAATAGTCACATGTATATGTAATGCACCGATATTAGATAAATAGTGTATATTGTGTATATATGACATATAACTATGTATCAAAGATCTATATACATTCATATACACTGTTACATAATATTTATAAATTATACAATGGAGTTTTTCATCTTTCACAACGAGCTGAATTTATTTTTCAATTCCAACCAACACAAAACTCTTCCAAACAATTTCAAATTTCAAATATGAGCTCCTTTCGTTGTTTCATTTCTTTTAATATATTATTCACTCTAAATGATACACATTTACGACATATCAAATTTTAAAATTGAGTGTCGAAACTTTTCAATGGCACTAAATATTCAAGAGTTTTATTTATCAAGCAAATAATAGTATGTTGAACTTCTCACGTTTACAGAGAAAGAAAATCACATTCACCATGCGAATCTTCCCAATACAACAATACTAACATTCACCTTCTTTGAATAAGAAATTTTGACTAAATAGATATTTTTGTATAATTTCCCCATAATATTTTATAGTGCTAACTGCTAAGTGTAATAATGAAATAAGTTGTATATATAATGTTAATTAATCTTTTAGGGCTTGTATTTATGAATATTTCCCTTTAGTTTTGTACTCCAAACAAATTCAATAGCATATGTGGACAAGAACATTTGGCCCTTGGGGCAATTCAACAATCACTTTGGTGAAGGGCCTCTAGACCAAGATTGGATTTTTGGGAGTATATGATTGATGAGACCCACTATAGTTTTGATTGAGTTTTGTAAGGGCTCCTTACGTAATTGTATAGAAAAAAAGGTTTCTTATCTCGATAAAAAATGACTATATATATAAAGTATTAATATTGTATAATTATATATATATCATAGATGTATATATTCATATACTACTTATACATTTTGTAGTAGTTCATCTTCTTGAGTTGATTTTTTACCAACTCAAATCTCCTCTAAATAGTCTCAAACTTTAAATATGAGCTCTTCTCGATATCTCAAAATCTTTTGATATATTATTCATTTGAAACAATTCATATTTGCAGCATATCAAATCAATCCAATCCAATCCAACTCTCTCCTCATTTTCCTCTTCCACATTTAATTCTCTCTCTTCTTTCTTTCACATACCTTCTTCTTCAGATAATCCATCTGAAACCAAATGTAAAATGGAGTATGTGTATCCCACAAACATTCTTTTAAGGGAAAAATGTTTAAAAAATACTTCAATTTTGGCTGAAATTGATGTTACGATACCAAACTTTATGGAGGACCTTTTACCCCCTGCACTATTTAATAGTGTATTTTAAATGTATATGTGTCCACGTGGACACGTTACTATTTATAATTATGCAATATTTAAATAAAAAAATTAGATATTGAAAAACTATACGAAAAGTACTAATAAATTGCAATTTTATGCATATCAATATGATGAAAAAATACATCATAAAATTTTAGTCAAAGTACATTTCTTTTGAGTCTAAAAAATAAACCGACAATTAAAAATGGACGGATATAGTATTAAGGTGTCAATTTTATGGCTCTGTTTTGTTTTTTGTACTCTCTCGTATTAGTATTTAGTTATCAACATTGACATTCATGATCATTCTCATTATTTATTAATTTATAAAATTAATTTATATGTTTTAATTTTGCTTTTAAAACTAAAAGTAAATCATATTGAAAAAAGTAATTGAGGATAAATTAGTTTTAAAAAAAAGAAATTTATATAATGATTTTCTAAAGAATGCGTGAAAGAGAAATGTGATAACTAATATAAATCGAGAGAGAAACACATGATAAATTACGTGATTCTTTCCTCATTCATTCATGTTCATACATACTTCATACAATCAAATCAGGAATACTCCACTATATTAAACACCATTAGTATTTCCCTAAAACAATAATGAAAATACAACATTCAGTACATTAATCAAAAGCTAATTAAACACGTCAAATCAAAGCTTAATTAATATCCCTCCCTTTTTTCTCAATTTATTGCCATGATAAATGGAAATTGCACTTTCACACATTTAATGTGCCTTCAACTATGACAGTGCGGCAGAATCAATCAAATGTCCTGTTTAATATCCTGCATCATATTACATAATGTTATATACTTGCAAAAGATTATTGTATACGAATTTCCAAATCTTGATCAAAAAAAATATTTCTTATGTTCTAAGTTATGTGGCACAGTTGAAAATTTGAGGTTCAAACTTTTAAACTTTGACTGTGAATTCGTATATAGAATCTTTAAGTTTGTTGAAATAAAATATATATTTATGAACACTACGTAGAAAGTACTATAAATCAAAATATTCTAAGAGATTTAAAGAAATTCCAATCAAAGAAAATTGGGCCTAATACTTGAAATTTCAACTATATCATATAAATTGAGTAGGAGTGAGTAAAAACTAAAAGTGAGAAAAAGTGGAAACCTTGATTTAGGTTGAAGGACACTTGAAGTCTTTGGGTGGATACTTGCCACAGTCATCAATAAGAACTTGTAGAGCAATGGGAAGAATGATGTTTATGTTTAAGAGTTTGAGTCTAATGGTTGTGCAAAGACAAATGGCTGCATCCAAGTCTACAAGTCCTCCTAGAAGTGGACAACATGTTTGCTTAGCACTTCCACCGATTCCAATGTGGATTAGTCCTCCTAACACGTCCACACAAGCACCTAGCTTGAGAGCATCAATGGGACAAGTTGGTTGTGCTGGTGGTGGCGGTGGGCATGGTGTAGGGGGTGTTGGAACTATGGGTGGAGTAACAACCGGAGGACTTGGCACGTAGGGTGGTGGTATTACCACCGGAGGATTGGGGACAAAAGGTGGAGAAACAATAGGTGGTGTTGGAATGATTGGAGGTGACACAATAGGTGGTGTTGGTGTGATTGGTGGATAGACAATAGGGGGTGAAACAATAGGTGGTGTTGGTGATGGTGGTTTTGGAGTGATTGGTGGATGGACAATAGGTGGTGTTGGAGTGATTGGTGGATAAACAATAGGGGGTGAAATAATAGGGGGTGTTGGTGATGGTGGTTTTGGAGTGACTGGTGGATGGACAATAGGTGGTGTTGGAGTGATTGGTGGATAAACAATAGGGGGTGAAATAATAGGTGGTGTTGGTGATGGTGGTTTTGGAGTGAATGGTGGTGTTGTTGGTGGTTTAGGGGTGGAAGGTGGAGAGACAATGGGAGGAGGATGCACTATAGGAGGTCTTGGTACATGTGGAGGTTTTACAATTGGTGGCTTAGGGCCATGATGAGATGGAGGAGGGCATGGTTTTTGTGGGGGGTGTTTATGGGTAGAAGGTGGTTTAACATGTGGAGGGTATTTAGGGTGTTTAGGGGTAGTAGGTGGTTTCACATATGGTGGTTGTTTAGGGTGTTTAGGGGTAGAAGGTGGTTTCACATGTGGAGGATCTTTAGGGTGTTTAGGAGTAGAAGGTGGTTTCACATGTGGAGGATCTTTAGGGTGTTTAGGGGTAGAAGGTGGCTTTACATGTGGAGGTTGTGTAGAAGGTGGTTTTACCTTAGGAGGCAATTTTGGGTGTTTTGGGGTGGAAGGAGGATATGGACAATAAGGACATGCATGGGCAATGAACAAAGTTCCAAGTTGAAGAAGCAACAATAAGACTCTAGCAACATTAAACTTCTCCATTGGTAAGGAGAGAGGGAAAGTTTTGCCAAATGCTACCAATAGAATGGTACACTATGGCACTAGCTCTCTAACACACCCATTCTTATAGAGAAAGATACTAACCAAAAAATGTCTATTAATTTTCCTATTTGCTATTCTTTTCTAATGATTTTTACCGACAAGATGCTTGGGTTAGGTATGTAATATGTAAAATTAAAGATTTTGTATTAATTGATAGAGAATGTTTAGGAATCCATCAAGTGGGGTTCAATGAAATCTCTCCCTACCCTAATTTAAAGATTTTGAGTTTGAGTTATGAGAAATTTCTGATAGAAAACGTAAATATTATTGAACACACGCACACAAAAAAAAGTGTTATACACAGGAATTTAAGGAAGGGTCAGATATCTGACCTTCTGATCAAATGACAACAACGTTTACCATTATCAAAACACATATAAATATTCAACTATGCCACTAGCTCTAACACGGGCATTCTTATACAGAAGATACTACCAACAAGTGTCAAGATATATACTTTTCCCTTTTTATCTTTTTTCTTCTTAAACATTTACGTACAAATAATTGTCTAAGTGGGTAATTAAAATCGATTACCAAGTGTTTGTTGGAAAGTGTTTAAATGACTTTTCTTTATTGTTGTTTTCACCTTTCCAAAAATCTTCTCTAGGTACTTATTTAACATGTCTTAGTACGTACATACATAAATTGTTAAATCACTATCAGCAAAGATATATAGACTTATCAGGTAGCTCTTGAGAGGCATATGTATACAGAGATACATAGGCCCACTAATATACCTTTTCCGTTTTAATTTGTTTGTCTAGTTTTGATTTTACCTAAAATTTAAGAAAATAAAAAAGATTTCTGAATCTATAATCTTACATTAAAGATAAGCATATCAAAATATTATTTATGCTTGTAGTCTTAAACGTTGCTATGTGAGGTCATATTAAAAGAGTTGTCAATTTTTTTTTAATCGGATTTAAGAATTTAGCAAGAGAAATAAATTAAAATGGAGAGTACGACAACTTGGATATACTTGAAATATTAATTATAATTTGTGTATCAAATTCCCGTACGGCTCCAAACCTAACTTTTTGGCCAAAATTTTCACATTATTTGTCCAAGTGACAGTATGTGAATTGGAGAAGGGAAAAAGAGGACAGATTTTTGGCACTTACTTTGCTGTTGAGTCCGTGATTGAGCTATTGAGACTCAACATCACTACATTCCAAGGCTTCATCCTTTTTAAAAAGTAGTGGTCCATGTGGCTCCAATCAATGTAATTATCACTACCATCACCCCGAGAATGTGATGGGCGCTGTTCTCAAGTCTAGTTAACGAAGCCGAGAGGGAAAGCTCGAGAGCAGATTTGCTCTTTCAATGGATGAGATTATTCTGATATTAATTAGATTTTATGAATTTGAATTTTAAGAATCTCACCTCTAATCTTGCAACATGAGTGAAATATACCTGTAAATTCTCGCCAAGTTTAGGGGTGTTATCAACACTTCTCTTGGCTGTTTATTAAGAGTTTTATGCTCCCATAAAAGTTTGAGACCATTTGTTGTGTCATGTGGCAGGTCGAAGGTGTATCTAAGTTTAGTTAGTCAAGCAGAGAGTATTTTTAAGGCTGTCAATAGTTTGGAGATGAAATTAATAATTAATTGTGCCAAGTTTAGAGGTGTTTTTAATACTTCTCTCTTGAACAATATTTCACTAAAATCTGATTTTTTTTCAGAATCAATTTTCATGTTGTATTTTACTTTTACGTAATAATATTGTACCTATAATAACAATGACATTTATCATAGCGCGTGGTGATTTTTTTGGTCAAATTACTCTTCTATAATAGTCATACTCAATTATTGTGTAATAATATTTTATAAAAAATATATCATGTATAAAAATAAAATATTAAAGTAATTATGGTAATAATAATTAATGTCATGACAAAAATATTTTCATTATTAGTTATGGTTGCAGCTTCACGAGGAAAGACTACTGATATTTGTTATTTATCATTCATACTCTTTATATTTGTTTTTATTGGTTAACAAATATATTCTTTTTTCTTGGAATAAAAAATTATTAAACTATTTTTTTGTGTACTTTTATTGATAACAACTAGATGAGATTTAAACGTCAATGTCACTATGCATATATAACATTGGGATAACTATGTAGAATAACAAGCATTTAGCGTATATTAGCGTAAGAGGGAGTTGCTCGGATGGTAAGCACCCCTCACTTCCAACCCGAAGGTTGCGAGTTTGAATCACCAAGGGAGCAAAAGGGGTGGGAGCTCCTAGGGAGGGTAAAAAAAAAAAGGTACTATAGCTACAGTTTAAGAAAATTATAATTTGCGGCTACAATTTACCCAATTCTTGCTATTCGCTTGATTTGTATAAATTCATAATTCATATAATTCGGTCCTGATTGTATAAATCTAGAATTTTGTATATGCTTACCCTAGTTATTTGTTTACGATTTATGAAAAAAATATTATAAATTATCTTGTTTGTATATTGACAAGCGAAATATACAAACAGAGTTCTAAAAATTCCTAAATGTATAAATACAAAATTTGTATATACTTACTCTATTTGTATATTCACAAATATATCAACGAGCAGAAATACAATATACAAATCACAGTTCCATAGCAAACATAACTATAACTATAACTATGAAGCGCAAATTATCAAAATTATAGCTATAAAACTTTATTATATCTATTATATTTACTAGGGAAAAGGGTCTGATATACCCATTCACTTTGTCATTAGAGCTGATATACCCCTCATTATAAAAATGGCTCATATATATCCCACTGTTATACAAATGGCTCACATATACCCTTTTCTCTAACGGAAGTGAAAAAATTAATTTTAGTTTAATTTTTTAATAATTTTTTAAAACAAAGTATAATCCCATATGGGAATACTTAATCCTACTCAAACATATATTGTTTTGACTTTTTTTTTTCAATGACTAATTTAGATTTATTATTTTGATGGTCAAATTTATTTATGTTTCACTAAAATTCTTGTAAAATTTATTATAGATGACCCAATTTTTTTTTTCCAAATACAAAAACTAAATTACAATATAGCCGAAAAATAGTTTTAAATTATAATATAGCCACAAAAAAATTGTTTTAAATTTTTTTCTTACAATAAGGAATAAAAGAAAAAAATAAAATAAGAATAAGAAACTCAAATAATGATAATCAAAGAAGTCAAAAAATAATTTATATATGGAAAAGATTAAAATATACCTTGAACTTTGCTAGAAGGAACATATATACCCCTAAATGATTTTTAAAAAAATGAAAGGTTAAATATATAAATTTAAAACTAATTTTTTCACTCCCGTTAAATAAAGGGTATATGTGAGCTCATTTTGTAACGGTAGGGATATATGTGAGCCGTTTGTATAACGGTAAAAGTATATATGAGCCACTTTCATAACGAGGGGCATATCAACTCCAAATAACAAAGTTGAGGAGTATATCAGACCCTTTTCCCTATTTACTATTTCTGAATAAGATATCTAAATAACTTTCTATCCTCTATTTAACTGTTTTAATTAATACGTACTCTGTTAATTGGAACAATAAGTTTGGAATAGAAGTAACAAAATGACTTATTTTGGAACATTAAATATTTTAAAATGAATTTTGGTATATTAAAACTAGGGGTGTTCGTGATTTGTTTTGGATCGGTTATTGATTAAAATCAAAATCAAAATCAAAAGTCGGTTTTTTTAAATTTCTAAAACCAAACTAAATGAAAAAAATAATCGTCGGTTTGGTTCAGTTTTTTTGATTTATTCAATTTGAAATAAATAATTTTTTTGAGGACGTGCGTATCTCGATAGACACAAACACCTAGTGCATGAACAATCCACAAAAAAACTATTGTCGGTTCAATTAAGCAATACTAAAGTTATCATTACATGAACAAAGTGATTCAATCAAGAGAAAGTGTGACTATTTTATGTGAAGTAGGGTAGGTGAAGACTAAAATAGATTTTGATGAACTTGGACTTAGGATTGTTATAGTTGGGCTAAAGTGTTGGACTTGTGAAAATGATAAAGTTAAAGATTTAAGTTAACTAAAATTTAACAAAATATTTATATTTTATTATGAATAATATATATATAATTATAAAATTTATATATGTAATTTATCGGTTCGGTTTGGTTATTTTTGCTGTTGTCTTTTAGTAAAATCAAAACCAAACCAAATAGTATCGGTTTTCAAAATTTAAAATCAAACCTAATCAAACCAAACCAAATATCAAATTTTTAACCGATTTGGTTTGAATTGCGGTTCGATTTGAATTTTTAATCATAACTATGAACAACCCTAATTAAAACCACTAATATATTTTGATTCGAAGGAGTAATTTGCTTAGGTTACATAATGGTATTAATTAAATTAAAGTGAAACTTAGTAAATTTCACTAGTTTAGGAATTTATTACTTAGATATACTTCAGTTTGTAATATGATAAATTTTATCAGATTTTGGTGCATCCAGATACATAAAGTCAAAATTAGGTGTAATTTGTTCTAGACACACTGTATCCAAGTGAATTCGTAGGCATCTTGGATACATAACAAATCTCGTCGCCTTCTTCGCCTCCTTCCATCTCACTCGCCACTCTCTTATGCAACTGGTATCCCAAGTACATGCGAATCATACCAAATACATACATACATATATATATCTTGTGTGTATCTAGTGTGATTCGCATATATCTATGATACGTGACTATCTCGCTCGTCTCCCCATCTGGGTTGTTTCTCTCCCTATTTTAGCGTATTTGGTAGCAAATACATGTATCTATATGTATCTTTCTCATTATATAATAAACAACTCTTAATTAATGATAAAATATGTAATATTTTAAAAATATAAACAATAACATTATATATTATAATGATAGTAGAGTATATCTAATTACGTGATTTATCCTAATTAAAAGATCACA